ACGGAAAGTGACTGCAGCCACTGAAGATGGACAAAAAAAAAACCATACTGACTTCTGTCTTTCAGGCTTATCTAGCCATGTAGAGCTATTTCAGAGCATCTGAGAGAGAAGCAGGCTTATATTTCCAGATGAGGAAGTGGAAGAGTACTCGGCTGTCTAGAGCAGTGTTGTAGGAGTAGCACTACTGTGGGTGCAGGACGTCTGAGCTCAAGGATAAAAAATAGGCCTATAGCTACCAGCCGATCCCCTGTAAAATAAGTGCCCATCACTTGCATCTGCATCTCCTGTGTAGCAATTTATTTTAGACTCAGCAATGAGTCAGAGAGGAGGTGTGCGAAAGAGAGAACTTGCCTGAAGACAAAATAAATAAAAAGTATTCTGCACTAAAAATCAGTTTAAATAGTGTAGATAAAGAAGAGTCACACCGTAGGTGTTTATTTGGCAGACTGGTTCCAAATTTAGACAGGTTGTACAGACTCCTAACCCGCTGCTTGGCCCACTCTGAAACTGACACCTTTTTCCAAAGTGCTTGCCAACATGACTGTGATTGTAGGCATGGAAGTCATGCATCGTGTGTGTGTGTGTGTGTCTGTGCAAGTATGCATGCGCATGGACCAGTACATGGCAACACTTCAGCAGCTTGTATACACTCATACAATGAAATGTGCTCGTGCAAAGCCCATGCACCTGTGAATGCTTACTGGCACATGGATAATACTGACACAGCTGGGATCCACCAGTGCCTGCCAGCCAATGTATGTGTATGTGTGCGGCTACCAGCTGCGCCCACTGTTTTGATCCTCAGAGACACTATCACATTCTCCTTGCATCATTTCACCACAGCCATGAAGTACAGTATCAAACTCATGAACACATGCTCACAGTTATAAGCCCATATTCATTTATCACATTCATGCATATAATCACCTTCGCACATAAACATCGAGTGAGTGGCTTGAGATATAATTACTTATTATGGGTGTTATGCTTTATAAATTTGACTGCTTTTTCAGGAAGCTGCAGACACTGCATCAGTTAAAGCTGCTACACAAACGCAGAGTTTTCTCATTTTAAAATGGTCATATTGAATCACATGGTCCATATTTAACTGCTGTGGTCACTTAGGGTTTGGGAGGGCAACATTTATTTTTCAGGACAGTCCTCAATGACAAGCTTCTCCCAGTAACCATCCATTATTGTCAAAAATATCGACAGAGGCCAAAATGCTTCTTAAACTCTGGGTCAAGGATGATGCAGCCAAGTTTCTTCATGTAAAGGTCATCTTTTATACTGTCATATAAAGCCAGAGAACAGAAGCTGTGTGTCAAACTGGCTTGAGATTTTATCCTGTCTTGACAAATTATTAGCAGTTGCTGCCTGCAGGACAACACAACATTTGGCTTTTTCTCCAGTTTTTGTTGTAATGTTGAAATTTCAATTGGCTGCTATCATGGAATAAATCCTAGCATCTTGATTTAGAAACTAGATGAAACACCAGACTTTAATCCGAGTGTGTGTAATGTGTTTGGATAGAGCTCAGCTAGAGGACTATCATAATAATTATTCTGGTCTTAGTCCAGCTTCAGGCTTTTTAGCTAATGACAGGCACAAACCAAATGGCCAGATTTCAAGCTGTCTGTTTGAATGCATACTTGAGATGTATGTGCAAATATTGTGTGTATGTGTTTGAGCTGACTGGTTCAAACATCTTAGAAAAAAAGCTATATTTCTGATTATTTTCTGCAGTGATGGGTAGCTAAGCTGAGAGATGATGCCTTTAACCTCATATGACCTTGTTCCTGGCAGCTGCAAGCCATATCATTTCATACCTGCTTTGGTTGTTTTATTGAATAGAAGAGAACAGGACTCCTACAACAACACAGTTCAATACAACAGAAAATTGCATTTTCTTGCATTATGAAATGTAAGCCGAGCGCACAGGTGCTGCTGTTTTGCCTCTGGATGCTTGTTATGCAGCACAAAAGACTAGAATATAGCAGGCCTGTGCAGTGCTTTCAGCATATAGATCTGCATGTTAATAAACTGATGCACTGAACAGTCCTATTAGGGAAGCACACTATAGACAATGTAGTTTATGTTTCTCACAACTGAAACATCAATCTGCACACCCAGCGCTATGTCAGAGTGTAGTCACACATCATAAAAGCTTTCAAATATTTTCTCTTGATTGTTTTTTAATGCTGAAACAACATGAGATTATTAGGTCGTCCCCGTGTTTACTGTGAGGAAAATCACTCTCAAGGTATGAATTTAATTCATCAAAATAAATCAATACAAAATATTATGCCTCTTTTTTATTATGCCTGTGTGCATGTAATGAAACATGTACACAACAGAGTTGTGTTGGCAGCAGCCCAACAATCAATAGTGCTCTATTCAGGCATTGCACATTTGATGTTAGAACCAATTTAGACAGTGCTTTATAGTATTGACAGTATTGTTTCAGAGTCCTTTGCAATACCACAACATGATGAAATCCATTTTCCCCTCATATAACATGCTGTCATTTTCTGGCTAGAATGAGCTGAACCATCTCAGCATACAAAGCAGGCAGGTTCAGCTGCAAAGTGATAAAAATGATAGCACAACAGTGACTGGTATTTCACAACAGCAATGCTAATATCACACAATAATGATCAGTGAAGGGCTTCAGAAAACATTGGTGGTGTAGTTATGGACAATGCTGTGTGTCATGTGCTGCGTCAACATGTGAGGCCACAAATAGTCTTTAACAAGGTGAAAGCAAGCCAATCTGCTATATGATAATAATGATAGCACCATAACGATCGGTGCTATACTAGAGGGATATTACCAATAATTGTAATGATAATCACTTGTTGCTCTGCTGCTGCTGCTGGTGGTATTTGTAGTTCTTTCTTATGCCCAAAACCATGTTGGTGGTGCCGTTAATGTGACAGCACTGCTGCTCTCACTGTCTTGTAATGCAAACAATTTAATTTGTCCTTCCTAATTAGATATCTTAGGGAAAATGAGGAAAAGACAAGACTCCCTGTTCCCAAATTTCCTTCTGATTTGCAGGTGAGCAGTAAATAAGCCTTTTTTAAAATAACGTAATGACTGTTTAAGTCCTTAAGCCACTTACTGAGCATTTCTCTGATGTAGAATAAAACAGTGCATCTGAAAAAAACTGAATGAGCTTAAAACAAATGAAAGACACATTAGATTAAATGTTAGTATAGTGATAAAGCAAACTGCTTTGTTGGACAAAACAAACAGCATTTTTCAAAGTACTGACTTTTTGTCTGTCTCAGGTGCAATAGTATTAAAAAAAGAATCAAAATTTTAGCTATAAAAATCATGTTTTCAATCAGGTCATTGGTATAAAAATGCATGCATTTGTTAAAATTTTCTGCTAAAGCTACTTGTGTGGACTTTTAGTTACTGTAAAAAAGTGGAGCGGAGGTTAATTATTGCAGATTCCTGCTTCTTAGAGCTGTGTGATCTCTCACTGCACTTGTAGAAAGATAATGCATAAAAGACAAGCAGCAGAGAAGATAAAAGCAGATTTTGGCCTTTTGATATTTAGCTATTATGAGTTTTAAAATATCTCGCTCATCATGTTTCTCTTCATCTCTTCACTCATGTACCACTACACCTACATAATTACTAGATGGATGGTAACACATTATTTTAGAAACTCATGTTGCTTGACTGTTTTCTTTTATATTTAGCTCTTATTCACTCAGTGAAGGCTTACACACAATATTTTTTTCTTTTTCCCCACAATAACACTCTACTGTATAACCACTCAGCATTGCCACAGGCCAGGGTTCAGTATCTTGTTCCAGACTTTCTAACCTGTATTTACTGATGGAGGCGAGAGCTTGTCCTGCTCCTTCCCCTACCCTGATAACACCTCAGGTGATTTCCTCAAAAACCATTTGCAACCAGTCCTAATCTCCAGTCCACCTACTTTTTAACCTTGACCCAGATTCTGAAACAAACATGGCAGTTAGCTCACTAGCTTTTAGTCTCAAAAAGTACTGAGACTGGCAGAGCTCGAACTGTATAGTCCATGAATTACATTCCACCACCATGATCTGACGAGTGACAGAATACTAAGAAAAAATACTTAAACACCAGTCATATTAATCTCAGTACAGGAATATGTCACCCAGTGGCAGCACATTGTACAAAGGCATAAGTTAACAGCTGTGGAGAAACAGACAATACTTGTTACTCCCAATGAAAGATGATGATATATTCTGGTGTCAGGGTGTCAACTGCAATAAATCAGTAAAACAACAGTTAAAGTTCAAACACAAGTTGATTTCCTGCATGTGTGCATGACGGTGTGCAGTTTGTCCACACTGTGCTCATATATCAGACTGTGTGGGAAAAGACTTTGGAATAAACTGGCTGTAGGCTGGAGCACTGCAGGACATGGCTTGGTGCAATTAGAACAATACTGGAGTCACCACATGAATTAAATATCTTTTATTTGTATTTTACTCAGTCCAGTGAGTGGAGGTATGAGCATGTGACATGCAGTACATTTAAAAACATAGTTATGTAGTAGATTGAAAACTTTTTTTTTTTTTTTTACCTGGAAATTCATTATTGGAGCCCAAGAAAGGAGGATTTCAGGGGGAATCTGACAACTCCACATGTTTTTGGAGTTTGCGAGAGGTTTGCTTGTGAAGTTACTAGTGTTTAAATTTGCATAAGAGACAAGTTTAAGAATTTTTCTCAAAAATGTATTTTATATATACTCCTCACTTTTGTATTTGTTTCTTTTCCAAAAAAATATTCTGACATAAACAAGCCACAAATATCCTAATACCCTTTCCCCTGGATAATTACATGTACAAAATTATGAGCTATAGAGCACACCTACAGTAATTAACACATCTAATTACATCATAATTACATAATATATGTGTCTCGTTCCTTTCCTCTTCACTAAATGGCCATTCTAACATGTGATTAATCTAAATTCCCTCTCCTCTTTCTCTCAGGCAGATCTGTGTCACTGTGAAAAGGAAAAAACTCATCGCATCTGACACCAGTAATGAGCTAAAGGTGGGTTCCGCCATTTCTTTTCCTGTGCTGTGAGTGTGTGTGAAATCAAATGCCCTGTAAACTGGCACTGACACATCGGGCCCCACTAGCCTGTTCAGCATTCTCACTCCAAGTGAGAGTGATGGGTGACAGCACAGTGTTTTCTGAGAGCTTACAATAATCTCAAGTATATTCATTTGTTCTTTCTTTTATCCTTTCAATCTATATTTGTTTGTGTTTCCCTCCTTTCTTTCCTTGTAAAGCCATTTTCCTCAGTAATGATTTCTGTCCTTCATGGTTAATATAAAATTATACAGAATTGTTTAGCTTGTTTTTGCCTGCAGCAGCTTGTTAAGCAGGACTTGTAAAATGCATATTTAATATGACAGCATGCCTGAAAACGCAGCTTAAAATGTATCTGCCCTCTGGACACGTGTTCCCAAAGTCACTGCATCACACACACCTTACATCTCCCATACTAAGCATTTTTCCATTCACCTGGAAAAAGTTGAAAAGATTAAAGGCAGATCTAATCGATCCTGAGTGAGCTTATCAGTGGCTGGGGGA